AAGTAAATGGTGATGCTAAAGAACTGTGCCTCCTTTGGAGGAAAGATGCTATCAGCACACTCGTATCATGCTGCATTTAATATGTTCAACATCTAAGTGCTCAATAAAGCTACATGAGGAAATATTAAGGGTTTAAAAAAAAAAGAAGAAAATCACAAGGAGGGAAAACAATGTATCCCAGGAAGTAAAAGACGTCCCCTCCTCTTCATCAACCTCCCTCCCTCTTTCCTTCTCTAGCATTTCATCCAGAGGATCTTTCTTTTCTACCTCTCTAAGGATTATTACCAATTCCAAATTCAAAGCTGGTCCATACTTTCTTGCTGTCCAGGTCTAGTTCTAGATACTCTCTCATGGCTGCAAGTGGAAATCCACATGTAATTTTTTAAAGTATTTTTTATCCACCATTGGATTTCAGCCTCATAAGAATCCCATGAGGCAAGTAATATTACAAGTGAAGAAATATATATTCAATCAAGGAACAATTGAGATTATACTAGTAATAATAATAATAATAGCTAACATTTATTGAGTATTTACTATGTGGCAGGTACCATATTAAGTACATAACACGTGTAAGTTCATTATTACAACGTTATGAGGTAGATATTATTGCAGAAGAGGAAACCTAAACACAAAGAGGCTAAATAATTTGCCTAATATTACAAAGCTAGTAAATGGAAGAGCTAGGATAAGGAACAAGGTCACCTGGCTCTAAAGCCCAAGCCCTTAATCATTATATTGTAATATTTTCTTATTTATAAATAAAGCCTTTTTACACAAAACAATGGGGGAATGGGGAGAGTATGGGTTATAGCTAAAGGAATGAGATTCAAAATAGAGAAATTCTTCTTAAGTGCCATATTCTCACGCAGAAGCAGGGTAGGAAAATTCTATTCCAAAGGCCCATTGTGGTTAAGGTATGAAAGAAAATATATTCTCAGAATATCATATTCTAATTTGGAATTTAAAAGTGTGTATTCTATAGATATAATGCAGTAAACTGTAGCTACTCTAATTGGAAGTTTAAAAAATTTATATCCTATAGATACAATGCAGCAAGCGGCAGCTAGTCCACAAAAACCTATTTAGCCATAATATAGCAAAAAAGTGGCCATTTTATAAATATTCATTGCGGGCCTAGT